TAACATCTTTTCAGATAAAAGATGATGAAGACCCAGATTACAAAGAAATGTTAATGTAGTTAACCAAAGAAATGCATCATCACTGATCTTAGCTCAGTGTGGTAGGCTATGCGATAAGTAATGTCTTTGGACAGCTCTCATGGTGTGATTTGTCATTAAAGTCATGCTTTACAATGCTTCCTGGTTCAAAACAAAATGAAAAATCCACCATTTTTTCTTACATTTTCACCGTTTTCAGAGCCATCAACCCTGTAGGCCATCTGTTTGACACCCCTGGTACATTGTATAGACAGAGAAACACGCATGTAAGTACATTTAAAAAGCAGAGACAATATTTTATGGGTCACTCATTTTTATTAGACTGTTAATTAGCTTCACCAGTTTCAGTTTGTCAGATTGCTTGCAGTACAGTTACACAGGAAAACATTTTGCCAAATTTGATGATCTGTCTCATTATTTATGGATCATGTCTTTGGTTAAAACTCTTAATGAAAATGATGAAGACCAACATTACTATCAACACCCCTAAAATCCTGCAGTATAATTGAAACCAGACAGATGGGATCGGCGTCTAACATTTAGCAATCTGTACACAATTGGATCAATTTGGCTCATCTTGTGCTTAGTGCCACCCCTTGTCAATTAGGCAGAGGCAATGTGTCTGTCTGTAGTTCACATTTACTTGTCAGTGTTTCTTGTCCGAGCTTCTAAAATTACACGTGAAAAGCATGACCCTTGATCCAAATGATTATTACATACAAATAAAAAATACAGAATCATTACATCCAAAACACAGCATTGTAAAAGGCAATAATGCAGCAATTAAAATTTCAATAACATTGTTTATAGTTCATTGGGAAGTAAGGGGGACAGACCAACAAAGAAGTCTAGAATTCGACAGAGGACATAAGTACAAATGTGATTTGAGTAACTACAGTATACACCGTTCTAAGTCTGCTAAATGCTGGTAGGAAACCTTCAGTGGTTTGGGAAACACAGGCAAGCTTATTCTCATCTATGGTTTCAGTAGTATCATTACAAGATCAACTGACTTAAACTGCGAACGTACAATGTTTTCATTCACTAACGTAGCTGTACAAATTATACAGGAGCTATGACTTCTCTTTACCTGTCATAACACAACCGCAACCTGCAATGAACGCACCTAACAAGAAGGAACAGAAGACTGGATAGTCCAATAGTCAAAATCTCTCGCTTATTTCAAAACAAGCTTCACACAAAAACAAATCTAACGTTCGTTACAGTGAACAAAAGCCGCTTTTCTTTCTTGCTGTCTTTGTTTTTTGTTTTTACAGTAAATGTCACCCAGAAATAAACAAATAAACTATAACCTGATTTTGGTACTGATTATCTGTACTATGTCGCATATAGTTAAAGACTGATGAATCAAAAGCAACATCCCACAACGTGACCTTTTTAACCTAGACGATCTGACACGATGTTGCTAAATGAAATCAAATCGATACACTAAGCATTTAACAATTAATCAGAAAAAAAAAGGGGGGGGGCAGTCCCTTTTTGTAGTACCTATATGGTGTACTATGTTGTTCATAAATATGACAAACTACCATGAATCATTTAGTGAAAAAGCTTCTTGATGATGATAGGAACTTTAGTACAGCGTCTATACTAGATTAGTAATGCTCAAATGTTGTAGTGTTCAAAGGTGTTAAACAGTACGACTATCACGCCAGAGTGTGGTCAGTTTTTTGGGAGTCACTGCACACGCTGACACTTCACATTACTATAGCTGTGCCCTCTTTCCACTCACTGCTCTGTGCGGTACGATACGTCTAACTGTTAAGCCGCTCCGCTCGAATTCAAACCTGCCCAAAGATGTGACGATGAACAGGCTGCTACACAAGGTGATGAGAAAGGGCATCAGGCATGTAGTCTGTTGGAGGTGCTGAAGTTAACTACTCCTACTAAGGTTTTCTAAGGGAATGATGCAGTACCGAAAAGAAGATGGAGCCTCAACATCTACCTTAAATACATTCAGAAAGTAGTTGCTGTGTCGTTGTCTTGTGCTGGTTTTTACAACAGTCCGTTTTCAATCAGCCATGTTAGGAAAGTGTTTCTCCTTCTCATAACAGCACAATGTACTATTTTTATGTATTATTCCATTACATCAATGCAAATTAATCATAGAAATGTCTACATCTAGCAGTATGTACTTCTTACGTTATTTACAGTGTCCATTTTGAACTGTGACATTTCCGACTTTTCAAAAGCAATGACAGGAACAACACAAATAAATACTGCAGCATCATACACCAAGTTGTCATGCTTTCATCAAAATAACGGACTTCTGATTATTCTGTTTTACAGTTCTTTAGATAGCAGAACAAATAAAACAAACTCATTCACTGACTAAATAAGCTAAATTAAATATTTGGTGTTTTTTTTTGTTGTTTTTTAAAAAAAAAAAAAAACTTTTTTCTTTTGTACCACCAGCACATAGCTCTGTATCGATTAGTGTGGCCTATTTCTGTGTTTCAAATCAAAGCCTAATGTCTCACACATTCAAAGTTAACACCTCTCAATTCTTGCCTAATGTAGTCGTACTTTGCACTGTGCGATGAAACAGTAGCTCATGGAGGTAAGTTTAGTTTGAGAATACGCTGGATATTTTTTTGTTTTTATCACTAACTCTTACTTAAATCGGGATTTATGCCATGTTTAAACTCAGCTGTCACTCACACTCATCTACACAGATACATCACATCTAACTGTGGTACAATCTGAACAGAGACACTACTACTGAAAATAAATACTATAAAGCATTATGCACCGTTCAAATTCAGCTTCTCACGAGGAGCAGTAGGTCAAGTCATGCCACTGGGAGGAGGTGAATGGTTTTAGGATTATGAAATGTTGTGACACTGCTAATGCAAAGAAACATCCTCAGACTCTAAGCCAAAGGAGTATTATAGGTGATGAATCGGATGATTGGTTGTTGTCGGGTCATTTACAATGGGTTTGGGATGTAACCCCGTACTTATTCAGTTACTTTACATTTGCGACATATCATAAATCCAACATAGGGAGTGTAGCTGGGACATCACTGTTGGGAAGAGTCGAGGGACACAACGTGTGGTCAGGCATGACTTGCTGGCTGCCCCGATGCTTCAGTTCATCTGTTCAAAGAATTTGTAGGTGGGGTTTTCGTAGCCATGGTTTTGCATTTTGTTGAGCTGTCGTTCTTCTGGCGTGAGCATCGGGTCAACCTGCTGAGAGACACACAAGACCCTGAGTCATAACACACTAAAGACAAAGTCGGAAGCAATGATCGCACCATGACCTGAGATATAACTAAACTGTGGGCTAGATGGGACAGAATGACAGAATGAGAGGATGAGGTGGCCTTTATAATTTAATGTTTTTATGATGGATTCAACACAGTTTTTATACTTGGAAACTCACAAGAGCTACTTGGATAATACTGATGATACAGCACGGTCTTTAAGAAAAGTTGGTAAACCTGGGATGCTTTGAACAGCATGATTCTATGATAACATGATAGATGGCATCTTAGATTGCAGTTACAGTCAGCAAAAAAATACGTTTGGAAACTTTTCGCATTGTTTGCAGCTTAAATTTGCAAATGAATCAGCAATGCTGAGGTTACATGCTTTAGAAACATTGAATACACAGGCAAGAAGGACAGGAAGACATTTAGTGACGCACTGTATGACAGGAAGGATACTGTTTGAGGTCTAGCCCAGATTCTGAACTTCTAAAAAACATTTCAAAACTTGATAATAATCATTATATGGATATTAAAGTAACAGTACTGTTATTGATTTTAGTGCGAGCTCAGTAGAAAGACTTGTTGTACATGTAGCTGGAGCTAGCTGCCCATCACCAGTTAGAATCTCTAATTCTCAGTGTGCTTAATCTATGCAGTGTTGTTACATTGTGCAATGTGCTGAATATACATTTTATGTTAACAAGAACCTTTTAATATGAATAATAATAGCAACGGCTTGCATATTTTAGCACACAGGAAGTTAGCATACTTTACATTTTGGCAAGAATAATGCTTTCCTGAAATGTTTGGATTGACATCTATCCTTCCAGTGAGTTGCTATGATCTTCACAGTTAAATATCAGGATGTAAAATTTAAAAAGAGTCTTTAAAAAGAGTTTAAACACCTTTAATATGTATAAGTAAAGTGTTTTAAGGTCAAGTATGAATTGCATGTTCATAGGAACTTCACTTAAATGAATGGTCTAGCTGGGGTCGTACCTCAACAATGCCATGGCTGATAGTGCCGTATGGCTTCCTGCGCACGAGCAGCAGGCTTATAACCATCACCATGGCGATAGCCACAGCTACGACCAGCAGGCCCACCATGGCACCACGGTTGAATGTCTCCAAAGCATCAGGCTGCTGTGGAAAGACAGAAATATGTGCCATTAAACAAGGCAAGAAATAGTTTTTTTGGCTTAAAGGAAATTATAATGCATATACTCTTACCAGTTCATCTCTAGCGATCTCATTAGGTCTGATCGCCTGCTTGAGCTCTGCAGAGGTGTTGATCTAAGAGCAGCAAGGGTAAGCAAAATTTTGGGTCACAGAAAACAGAACCTTTACACACACATAAGTCTATCAAAGATATGAAAAGCCTTTTAGACTGGCTACAATCTTACCTTTACCTCATATTCATAAGTAGGCCCTCTCTCAGATGTAGTGTAATCATATTCATCATCTGCAGACAAAAGTGCAGCAACATGTTTAGCTATGAGAAGTGTAACTCAAAACATACTACAATTCATACAAAAGGGGAAAATTCAGTATTAAAACAATAGGAAACCCTAGCTTACCGTCCTTGTTAGGCTGCAGCTCTATGGAGAAAATCAGGGGGAAGAAAGCATCATTAATGAGAGCAACCTGGATGTCAAATTTTGCTTAAGTGCATATGATTAACAGGGACTGTGTACCAATGCGAGGGGGATAGGGCCTGTTCTGGAAGGCTCTCTCCTCTTCTTCTTCATCATCCTTCTCCTCCTCGCTCTCAGCAGGCAGAAGCTCCTCAGTCGTGCGGGTCTCAGAGAAGGAGGTGGTCATCAGCTCACTGATGTCACCTCGCTCTGCTCTGACCAGCTCCTCTGTGAATGAGACGCAAAGTCATCAACACAGATTTTAAAAGCATTAAAACAACAACAACAAAACACAGAACAGAAGCCATAGATGCGAAAATCTTTGTCAGGGCAGTATAACTTACGAATGTCACTGTGCAGTTCCTCAGCCAGTGTAGGATCCTTGTAAAGCAGGGCAAGACTCTGGTTCATTCTCTCCTCAATCACATGAAGGTGTGTGTACACCTGCAGGAAATACAAATTGATTCTGCTCATGCTTCTGACCAAAAGAGCTTGAACTGTGAGTTACAAAGGGGCGATATTAGCTTAAAATGTATTACTTTAACTTTGTCATCTTATTACCTGATTATTGTCATAATATTACATTTGTAATCCAAATTATTACTGATATCGTCCCTGTTTTTGTGTATTTTAGCAGGTTACTGTATAGGCTCCAAAATATTAATATGCTACTGGTGTCTTTAGTGTATTTTCTCTTTATTAGGATATGTTTCTGATCCCCTAGCACCCTATAGCAAAAATATGAGTCTTAGCTTTAACCAAATACACCCACGCTTAACAGTGTGTAATAACATAATTATTACCTGTTCATTTTTAAATGTTATTACTAAATTAAAATGAAAAGTGTTGCCAGATTGTAAATCTTTTGGTGTCAGAAAAGACTGGCTTTGCTTTTAGTTGAATGAAAAGAGGATTTGTAACTGCCTCACATCGTTGAGTTCTCTGTTTTCTGTTTGTTTCAGGGTCAGCAGACAAGAGACTCACATGTGCAGAGCACAGGTGTGTGCTCACCTCATCCAAATACCTCACACGCTCTCACACACACACCTGGAATTTCATCTGCTCGGCCTTCTGGGGGTCAACCGCCACAATATGCTGGTAATGTCTCAATGTGTGTCTGCGGTCCTTCTGCTCTGCAGCCATGTAGCGCTTCAGCGCCTGCAGCACACGCTCTGGCTGGAAGACACAGTTCAGCAGCAGATAAGAGTGAGAAGTAAAATACCAGAAAATGAGACAAAGGCTCCTCTAATTTGCTGCCGGGTATAAACATAGACAGATTGACAAGATATCTGCAATTGCTTATCTCTGTCTTCTCTCCTCCTCTGTACTCCAGGGTAGTTTTACCTGAGGGGGATCAGACTGTACAGCTGTCAGATAGTTCTCCAGGGCCAGGCGCCGGTTGTTGTTGAGAATGGCCTCAACCCGGGCAAGATGAGTCTCCACAAGTCTCTGTCTCTCTCCAGCAACTTGCTCCTCCAGCGTCTGCAGCACAGACTGGAAATGCTGGTAGAGAAAAGACCATAATTATTCATTTTATCTGGGATACTGCAACTGTAAGTCAGTAAAGCGGGTTTGATAAATGCCTGCTTACCTCATTCAGGTCCTGTCTCTCTGACCTTGGCAGATTTTTTGACTGGTTGTCTGCCTCTGCCCATTCCTTCATGATCTGAGGGATTCAAACACACAGAATGTGTCCAGAGTGTGTGACGGAGACAGTCTTCTCATGAAACTTGGAGCACAAAAGACACCATCTTTTGTCACTTCAAAACTGATAGGACTTGTAGATACAGCTATCGTATTTGCTAACTAGGTTTTCTTTTTGGGGTTTAGGCATCAGTTCAACAACATGGTCTGACTGCATTTATAACAAAGAAAACGCTGCAGTGGTGCTATGCAATACCACAAAGAAAACCCAAATCAAAAAAACAATCTTGAAGTTGTATGACAGCTTTCTTGTGATCATGACCAAAGATGCCGGTCAAATATCCCCGCAGTTATTTTTTTCTTTAATCTATGTTTTGTGAAGAAATGTCAGAAAACAACTTGAAAATCTTGTTGTCACAGGATTATCAGAGTAACATCTTCTAATTTTGTCATTATGTGCCCAACAGTCCAAAGATGTTCACTTTACTTTGTAGTATATACTAATGAAATGAAAGGGGGTTTCCACATCGCACGATAAAATCTTAAACCCAGCCCTAATCGACATTTTTTTGGGAGCTATTTAAGAAATGTCTTTCAGTATCAGCTCCCCTGAATGCAGGTGGAACATGGACAGGCCTACTGTACTGTCATTTTCAGAATTAGATTAGAGGACAAGAGCAACGGATGAGCAAATCTCATTCCAGATTAATGAATCACCTGCCAAAAGTGTGACCTGCCAGCCAAGATGCCATTAGCCTGCTCTTAGCCCTGTGAAATTTACCTCATTGATGCGCTTCATTCTGCGTTCCTCCAGGTCTGTTTTGGCACGAAGGAAGTTGGCATGCTCGGTGTCGTCTACTGGCTTCTCAAAATAAACATCGACACCATCTGTGGGCCTAGCTGTAGTCACTAGATGGGAAAGACAGGAAACAGGTTGTTATTGTCACGTAGGCTGCAAGAGCCAAAGCGAAATTATCTTGCAATTAAAAAGGACAGTACAGGTTACAGAGCAACGAAATCAAGAAAGAAGCAATGTTTAACAAACTTGGAGTAAATATGTTTGAGTTCAAGCTATTTCATAATTTGTTTGTGATAACATTGTTTTTTTAAGCTCGGAGGCCCAGATTGAGTATTTGACCTCAGCTTGGTTGGACTGGAAGTTACACCACGTCTTTTAATGAAATTAATATATATTCAGTATATCTAACACAATGTTAGGATTAATACTTCTAGTGGTAACAGGTAATACTAAGCCACTGGATTTAACTTCATTTTTTTTCTCATGTTTTTTTATAGCTTCCTTTACTTGAAATGAGCAGAAAGTAAAAGAAAAAACTGTAAAAAAAAAAGAAAAAAGGAAACAGTTTAATCCCTAACCACATAATTATGCTAGTTTGTTGTACCTGACAAGTTTTTTTCTTATTTAAAACCTATTTGTCAAATTTAATTAATTTGATTTAAATACAATAAAATAATATTTACAATTCATTTACATTTTTTTAATCATATATATTTTCTTTTTGTGCTGTAATTTATTTCTTTTACTTTTTTAAATCTTGTATAAAACCTGCCTTTGCAGTTTACATTTTAACGTTTCCTGCAGTTGTTTACTCCTAGAGACCACAGTTTGTAGTATTCATAGTCCAGTATAAGATAAACATACTGATGGGGTGAAGGTTAAAAATATTTTGAGTAAAAATAAACCACTGACAACACCATAACATCACCCAACACAAATATGACTAAAAATGATCAACCAGTTTTGGTTTTTCATTGTTTACTGTGTTTCCCACACATAATGAGTACTATCAATATTTACTGCTCTGAAATTTAGAGTGAAGTGGTCAATTGCTCCATTTATTGCACGCCCCATAGTGAACCCTGCTGAGGCCTTGCTGTGCTATGCACCAGACTGATGTGACACACACACACGCACGCACACACACACACACACACACACACACACACACACAGACATACACTCATTTCATGAACTGAGCTGAGCTACAGAAAAGTAGAGCATGAAACCGACATGTGTGCATGTCTGTGGTGTACATTTCCTACATCCAAGCATGAGGCGCACTGGTGAGTCCGTATGTGTCTGGAAATGGCAGAGAACCTAGTTGACATTTTTGGTAACAACAGTTACTAAACCATGAGCGGGGCATGATTTTTTTTTCTCTCTCTCAGCAATAGAAAGATGAACAGAAACAGTGAGGCACACTTACAGCTGTCTCCCTTCATCAGAGGAGAAGAGGTGGTGGGTTTTTGGCTTTTCTCATAGTAGAAGGTGTCCAAGTAGTCCGATGTTTGGTAGGGACCCGAGTCGATAGGGTATTCATACTCTGTATCCTTCGTGGCCATTTCCTCTTCTTCCTCCTCTCCTTCTGCCTCATCCTCATCAACTTCTTCCTCCTCCTCTTCCTCCTGCTCCTCGTCCTCGTCTTCGTCTTCTACCACTTCATTATCTTCAAATTCCAAATCATCATCAAGATCTATTTCAGGAAAGGGGCTCGGAGTGGGTGCTGTCACTTTGGTTCTGTGTGGAAAAATGGGTGACTATAAATATTTCACACAAACCACAGCCTCATCCTACAACATGTCTGCGTGGTCAAGCTGAATCATCTTACACAGAGCTGAGTTTTCCACTCGTCTGGAATGCAAGTGTCTTAGGACCAGTAGGGACGTCTCTTTCTTCTGCCTCTCCTTTATCACCAGAACTTCCGCGCCCCGGGCAGCACACGTATTCAACACCCCGGTAATGGTCCCCACATGGCAACAGCAACCCGTAGCTGTGGAGCTCCAGATTGTCTGAAGTGCACTCCTAACACAGAGTCAAATTTCGAGTGTATTCAGAAGCAAATACATAGTGTCACAGTGTTTCAACATAGTGTCAAAAATGCGTCGTTCATGATAGAAATTGCATTAAAAGTAGACAATTCTAGAAATAAAAACAAAACGATTCATTTCGATTCTGAAAGCAAAACTTTAACATGAGATGTTATGAAGGAGTGTGGCACATCTCTCTGCCAGAAAATCATCTCTAGTGGGAGTTCTGACGAAGTTTGACATCAAAAACAATACACCACAAAGACCACTAAAGGCCAGCTAGCTCTGACTTTTATTACAGTCAGAGCTAGCTGGCTGTATTAGTGTTTTTAATTGTGCGCTGGCTGAATGATTACAGAATGTGTCAGTCACATAAAGATTTCTCATCTTCTTTAAAATGATTGACCTCTCATGTCTTCATTGTGCAATTTTTAAATTGGTCTACAGTAGTCTGTTCCACACCTCCTTAGCAATGTTGTGCCAGTACACGAAACTCTCGCAGACATCCATCTGCTCCTTGTGGAGAAAACGGCATCGGTCGGGCACGAGCAAGGCTTCGCTTACGTACTCGCCCTCTGCAGCAGGAGAGAAAAAAAGGTATGTCAAGCAGTAGGACTATGATAACAGTTGAGATTCTTATTTGAATAGATTTATCAATACATATCAAACACGGACAGGCTATAGCAGACACTAAATGCAAGAGTGTACACAAAGTTTAGGGACTCCACCTAATAAAAGTTTTTTTTTTAAAAAAACCCAAAACATAATGTACGTAAGTATGAGCAGTTACTCATACTTATGTACGCCATCACTGTTGATGAGAGCATGGTTTTGGTGTACGAGCAAGAGACGAAACAACAGTTTTCAGTTGAAAAGTCTCTAAGTTTCTAAGCCCAAAGGTGGTGCATTATGTCAGAAGCTCAAAAGCCCAATCAGGACCATCGTCTCACACCATTTTTTTTCATGGTGGGGTGTACAAATCTACAGAACAAGGAGTTGCGTGTAGTGGTCCATAGGTGCAAGAGTAGATGACCACAAGGCTATGATCAGCTATATTTAAATCAGGTATTTTCTTTTCTTTTGTATCAAGTCCAATGAACCTTATCATGATGCCTTTTGTGCGTGAACACCAGATGTGCGTTGCATAGATTACACAGATCAGAGGAAGGACAGTGAATTGGAAGTCTTAAATGAAGACCGGTGCACCAGTAACAACCGAAAGACCATAAATGTATAATGAGTGAGCACTTTAGACAGATAAAATGCAGTTACAGTAGCAAATCAAGGACACAGAAAAAAATGTACTTTGCTTAAAATGAATGTAAAATATTTATTTCAGAGATCATAAATGCAGAACATTAACTGCCTTTCTTAATAAACCGAGCAGAAATGAACAGTTTACACAGTCTACACCCCTGTTTCCTTTTAATCTCTTACTGTTATCATTACTCTTCATTTAGGCTCATGCATGAGGAAAAACCCATATGAAAGGCACTGCCGTAGATATCAAACAAGCTATAGCAGGTTTCACAGTAAGATGCATGAACATGTAAGTTTTTAATTAATCCAGACTGACTTACTTGTTCATTACCCTTTCATTTAGTCACTCATCCATTGTTAGCCTATTTGGCCACCTAGTGGCCAATAGCATGCTTGACCTGTTTGTCTGCAAGTCTTTTCTGTCTCACAGTCCAGTTTTTAAGTGCTGCCTAACTACACTTCTAATAGTAATGCATTTACAAATGTGAAGTGATGGGAGACATGAAAATGCTGGTATTTGAACTATAAATTAAACATGCTGTGTTTATCTTGTTGTCTTGTGTATTAGTTACATATGTGTGAACACATTCACTTATTTTTTTACCCAGAATAAAACAAAACAAAACTAATCAGGATCACAGCCTTCACAGTTTCATTTAGACAATTAGCTTTTAAATTGCACATTAAAAGCTAATTAGAAAAAAAACAACACAACCAAACATGAAGCACAATCATCATAGGAATATGTGAAATATACTCTATTGTTTAAAAAATATATAAATTGGTTATTTTTGTTATTGTGTTAGAGTGATTTGTGTTGTTCTTACCCAGGCAGCGGTAGGGCAGGACTATGAACAGGTGTGTCTGGCAGTGCCCCCAACCTTTCTTACACCAGGCAGGGATGGTGACTGGTCTTTTGGACTCCTCTATATGGGAGATTGAGAGCCCTGGGTACATCTGAGTGTATAGGTACATGCAGAGATAACGGAGACACAGAAACAAATAGGTAGATGGACAAAACAGAGGGAATTAAGACAAAAGGAAGAGCAGATAGGGGTAAAATTGGTAAATTTGGGGCAGAGCAGAAGCAGCAGGATCAGGGAAGAAGAGGAGGGAGAGCAGTATCAGTGGGGAGAAGACTAACAATAACAAGGGAGAGCCATGCAATATATATATATATATATGTATATGTATATATATATTTTAACTTCATGGAGCCATGTAGGGGCATTAGTCTGAAGCCACATTAGATATAATAATTTCAATGGCCATTCTTGTCTTTCACTATTTCTAATTTGACACTGGACTATTTCCATTTTCAATTTAGGCCAATCATTTGAAGCACAAGCACATAATGAGATTTAATAAGTGAAAGAAATATAGCTGTAGCCTGCAGTCTGAATACACACTAAAGTGCTTTCCTCACAAATATCAAGGAAAACGAGGGCTTTGTGTAAAAGCCATTTCAAATGCATAATATGTCAGCTAATCGGATTACTGTCCATTCAAGCTCATGGCTGCTGCTGTCTGTAGCTGCTGCGTCTGCTTTGGCCTCCAGATGGTGCCTGGCTGCCTTTTCTATCATAATGTCAGCCTAAGGAGTGTGTGGAGAGCATGTGTACCACTAATAACTTTACAGCAGATGCTAAAGAGTATGCATACAGTAGCAGGTAACAAGAGGACAGAAAGGTAGATGGTAGGCCAGGTGAAATATTGTAATATTCCAACAGACCGCCATCACTCCACTATATATTTGTGAATATATAGGTTTGATAGGACATGTGTTAGACAAATCAAATTAGAGAAAAAGGATGTGAAATTTTACTTGACTCCTTTTGTTTTATACAGTTTGTTTTTTATTTATTTATTCATTTTTGCTGAGATCATGAAATAGTATTCCTAAACTAGCAATTTCATAATGCTGCTGTTCTAGTCTGGTCTTCATCAGAGCTGTTTAGTTTCCATTCGCTGAATTTCAATCCCCCTGCAAAGTTTTGCTTCCTACCTCCTGACAGTAGGACTGGATTTGGCTGGGCTCTTTGAAGCAGCTCTGGCGGCCCTGAGGATCCGGTTCCCACTGGCCGGTCTGTGTGTTCATGTGCAGGAGCTGACGGCCACAGAACATGGCAATCTGCGGCTCGGCCACCTGGGGGACTGGCCCGTTCACCTCAGCCATGGCCAAAGCCTAGAAAGCAAAAGGGGAGGGGCGCGGGCAAGACAGATGAGGAGGAGTTAACATAAACACAGAAGCTGAGAATATTCTGTCTGAAGCCGATCCATGGTGGAGAGACCACAGATAATTCCTAAATGCACTCTAGCACTCTCCGACATTATAGACCAAGAGTGTAAGCCTGAGTGCAAGACAGAGTGAGCGAGAGATCGAAAGAGAAAGGGGAAAATGTGGAGGAAGAGAGAAGAGACTAATGTAGAAGTCTGCACACCGCTCGCTTTACGAGAAAACCTAAAATTCAGAAAAGATAGAACCATAGAACCGTCACTCTTGAAATGCCCCAAAATAAATGAAGGAACAAATTAAATGCCCAACTGTGAACTGGTGGGCCTGTGCTCCCTGTCTGCTGACAGCACTGACATCTGAGGAAACAACGAACGGCTGGTAGAAGAAGGTGGGGGGTCTGTTGCAAAAAAAAAGAAAAAAAAAAAACCATACAAGTGCACGTAAAAGACTGCTTCCCCTCTCTCTTCTCCTTCCCCTCATCCGTGGCCTTCTAGGATGTTGCTATTGATTGTGGGATATGTTGCCTCTGCCTGTGGGGAGGGCCCATGGGACCCCAGTAGAGGAACAAACAGCAGCTAGGGCTGGGAGTCAGGTGTTAATACAAGCTCATTGACCGATGCACCACTTCACTACATTAACACACAGGACAGACACAGAGAGAGTCCAGGGAGGAATAAAGAAGAGGAGGGTTTAGGGAGAGAGGAAAAGGGTCTACAAAATGAACAAACACAGACTTCTTTTTAAGAAAACACAAGTGAAGGGAGCCCTAAAGTAAAAGTGAAGAAATACAGTGTATGCTTCATGTTCAGCTGGATCCCTGAGTCGTGTCTGCTGGAGAAAACGACACATTTAGAGAACATATTCAAAGACTCCTGCAGGCCATGTAAAGTAAAAGGATGCAGGTTTCTTAGTAACAATTGAACATTCACAGAGACAACATGCAATGTTATTTATTGTCTAACCACGAAACTCCACAAAAAAGGGATCCCACACCCCAGAGTCTGTATACAGCTCACATGCTTTCATCTGTGCTGACAGAGAGAGAGACAGGCCCACTGACGACAGACAAGATGAGCGACGCTGAGCCAATTAGAAGGAAGTTGCTCAAAGGGAAGAAATAGAGGAGAAAAAATATGGGAGAGTGACGCCTGATCAAAGGAAAGCCCTGCTTTGGCCAAATGGAGCTAAAGTGTTTGAAGTCCTAATTAAAATTCATACTGGGTAAAATAAATATATAAACCTCTCTGAGTAAATGTACAATAAATATAATAAGCCCTGAGCAGTCTGTGCATTATAATTATGCTGGGCAGGGTTTGTGTTTCTGCATGTCTTAGCAGATTTCTAACAAATTACGCATCTACTTTTCATTACCGCTCCCCATTTCCCAGAGCAGTTTTTTTTAAGATTTGTGAATGACTTTATAGACCTCTTTAGAAATTGATTTATGTTTATTCATTTACATTATATGAATATCTCTTAGAGAGATATGCCTGAGATGACACAATGAGCACAAGTATCTCTTTCTAAAATCTAAACTACTTCCAGGGTCATAGGCTGTTAACATAATGCTCATAAGTGGTAGTTGTGATTTAAAGTCTGTAATTTTCTATAGTAATTTCATAAAGGTATTCTCCCTGATTAGCTTTTTTTTCAATGCTGCAAAACTGCCTCTCTGAAAGAATGACGTTCTAGCGTTTTTAGCTGTCAGCACTTGCTGACATATTCATTGGGATAATTTACCCATCAAACAAGTTTCGTGTACTTGCAAGTCACAACCAGTTAATAACGGTAGCGAAGATAAACAAATGGAAACAATGGCTGCTTAAAAGGCAGGGGTTCCAAATTTCGAAATGTCTTGATTTACACAACCTCATTTCCCAAAAGCGATGTGATGCTGTGGAAAACTGTCATTTAACGACTGTCCTAAACTGCACTGGAAACGGAGATGATTTTCTGGTGAAAGTCACTGCGTAACACAAAGGATCGTGTCAAAACAAAAAACTCCATAGCCCAATTTTTGTGCTGATATTAATGCAAGAGGTGGTTTGTATTGTAACTCTGCAGTTATTGAGCCAGCAGAGTATTGATGAGTTTGATGACCATATAGTGTATGTTGCTTGATGGCAACACAACAACACTAAACTCGTCGGCCTGCCGGAAGTCCAGAGCTGCTATCAACCAAAAACTATGAAACAAATAATAAACTAAAGAAGGCCTTGAATTGTTTAGCATATTAAATTCAATGTCACACAAGAGAAAAGAGAAAACTCCTCTTTTCTCTTGTGTGAAAACTCCTCTTAAAAGAAGAGATGATTCAATGCAGGAGCTTTTTGGAATTTAAAATATGTGCAAAATTTAAAAAGAAAGGCAACACGATTCCACACAGTTTAAACACATGAGAACTGGTACTATCTGCATCCAAATATGGGTTTAAACCATCAACTAACAGCAACAGGGCTCTGTGTTTACATCTGATGGTCAGCTAGGACTAAGCATGAAAGTCATGAGTGGTTTGTCTCTGGGTGATTTACTCCCACATGTCAAAGACTTTCTTGTTAGGGTAACTGATTATTCTAAATTTGCTGTAATTGTGGATGGGAATGGTCTGTCCCACCAATGTATGAGACCTGCGATGGACTGACAGCCTCTCTGGAGTCTATCAAAGCTCTCCCCTGATAGCAGCTTGGATAGGCTCCAACCCCCTGCAATTCTAACTGGATATGTGAACAGAATTATATTCAGTAGTATAACATGTTTAGGTTAAAAAAAAATATTAAATATTATACCTGCTTAAAAACCAACTGTTGCTTGTTACTGACAGAGCTGAATTGGATCATTTAATTGGTTAAGTGTACTGTAAGATAAGCAGAGGGGAAGACTGCTGAAGTTGCTGAAACTATCTGTCTAGAGGAGCTGCTGAGCTAATGTCTAAATAGATATAACTCTTTGAGTCAGGGAAGGTCAGTGCCACAACGAAAAAGAAAGAAAGAAAAAAAAAAAACTTCCGGATATTTGAGAAGATAACCTGGCAGCTCCCTCTGGTCCAGCTCTCTCATTCTGTCTGCTCTCCACTACTGCACTTGCAGAAAATCAATGCTCAGCGACTGCAACTGTATCGCCACGTTCCCCCAATCAATAGCAGTCCATCAGAAGCCTGAGGCCCTGACCTCGAGCCTCACAAGTCTACACTTCCAATCTCTAGTCAGATGCAGGACTAGATTAGGCATTCCCTTATAACCAATACAACTGCACGATCTACAGTGTGTACACTTCTGGTCTGCTGCTCCACAAAGAAGCAGAAGCCTTAATTGTTGAACGCGACAAGTAGAAGCATTCTTCTTCTCCACATTCTTTTCACCACTATAATCATCAACAACATCACATAAACATCAATCAGCGGCTGAAATCACATAAGCTACGAGACCCATTTTACCCTACTGCGTGAATACCACGTAATGTCTTTGTTTCACTGTTTTTGTGCCATTGTATTATTACAGCAATAACAGGAACTGTCATCAACATGCATCACATCTATTTATTCTTACCAAAATGGTAAAAATGCTTTTAAGAACCATTAGTTGGGGGGCATAAATATATTTTATGGTATTCCACTTTTTTTTAAAGAAATGGAAATGGAAAATCACTTAATTCAATACTTAACAATCTCAGAAATACATTTGCCGAGGCTGTCTATGAATCTGATTGTGGCAGCTCTTATGTGTCATACCCCAGTTCAACACAGTCTTTAACTGCAGTGAATATTGCTGCTGAGTGTCCATATTTGGAAAACATGGGACGTTCATTTGCTTTATTTATGTGCTCATAATGCAACTTTATTGCTATGGCAGAAACGAATCCTAACATTTATACTTGAGCGCACATGTTGTTCACTTCAGTAAATAGCATTCTGACTCGAGACTAGAATAGGCAGTTCATAGAGAAACTGACTGCTGAAAGCTGATGTGGCTTGCTTGAACCTGTTGAAGCTTGCAGCAGCCTGTAGTTTCACCTGCCGAGTGTCAGGCGTCGCAGTGTGGATGTGAGGAAGAGAGGACCCAAATGCAACACTCACGGGTTGGTTAAGGCTGGTGTTTATTGTGATGAACGGATGAACACAACATGAGAAGTATAGCTGATTGACCGGAAAGACTGGTTGAATTACTGAACTGGAACACACATGCGGGATCGACAATGACAACACAATGAACTGGAGGAAACTAAGGGTTTAAATACACAGGCTAATGAACGGTCAGTACACAGCTGAACATAATCTGACTAATAAGACATAGGAGGTAGAACTAGACATGAAAGCTGGCATGGTAAAACAGGAAACATAGACATGTGGAAAATAAACAGAACAAGAAGAAATTGAAAACACTGGGTCAAAGGCCCAGGAACCATGACACCAAGCATGTGAGATATGGAAGTAAGTTTATATTTGAGCGTGAGAACAGCTGCAGTGGCTGGCCGTTTGATAGTGAAAGGTTTTGAATTTGTTTGGAACTTCATTGTGGGCCAAATTCAGTAAGCTGTAAAGTTTTAAAGGAAATTATTTTTATGCCATCAACATCCATCCATCAACCACATATTTATACTTGGCCTAATTATGCTTAATATTTAAGAACAGAACTATGTTTCTAGTGTTTAATATGTAGTATTCTTACTATAGGGTCACCTGGTGGAAAAATTGAGTGAAATTCAGCAGCACTTGAAGCACTTTGAATTGATTTGACCTCACCAAAAAATGAAATTGGTAACTTAAGCAAGTGCAAAATCTGCCTTGTGAATTTCAGTTGCACAACACTTTCTTGACAGGTTGCGGAAAAAGATGCATACTAACATTCATCCATTTTGTTAGCCACGTAAACCAATCCAGGGTCATGGGCATACCAGCGCACACGCAACAGAGCTTCTGCTGAGAGCACCGTTCTCTAGATTAAAGAGGCTTT